TGTGTTGAATATGAGTGAGGGTTGCAGACGTATTGAACCGTCCGAGGATAGCATAACAATAGTAAGTGATCCTAGCCAAACATCTAGACACATGGCAAATTATAATAACCTTGATAGATATGCCAAAGGCACTCAGGTGTACGGTCACAATTTGTTTATCATGTGAAGCATCACATAGTAAAGTTATATGAACTGCCACTGCCACAAGGTGCAGCAGCCATCCCACCTAGAGTAGATTATCTTCTGGAAGGAGACCGGTTCATGTGCAATGTGAAAGGGTATGAGGTTTGTTACCACAACGACTAACAATGGCTATTGGGTACTATGACTAACTATATATGAATTTGGACAGTGTCTGATCCTGCGATTCCTTCTGCCCCAGATCCCCAAGGCCATATATGACAAGTACTTTGCCAGGAAGAAAATGCAAGGCAGGATAGTTCCTGAGTTCCTATCTAGGATCAACGGAACTATGATCTGCTTGACGTGCGTTATACTATGCCACACTCTCTGGGCATGGCAAACGGGTAAGTATGAACAGCCGAAAGACTTCAAGCCTGATATTGTCATGGGTAAGAATCTCAGAATATTCTCGTGGGCCGTAGTGAAGGAGTCTGGCTAACCCATGACCCACTTAAGACCTCTTGGCATGCCAGAGGCAAATATGGCAGAGATTCCCTGTGCAGATCCAGGTGCTGTTGGTCTAAAACATCCGCCAAATCATCACCGAAAAGCTCCTGCAACAATACGGGATTCAGAATGATTGAGTAGAAGGGTATGATGATGACATTGATGCTGTAAGCACGGACCTCGAGCGCAGGAAATCCAACCAGGCTCCCAGCCAATCCTGGCGGGGTAGACAGACAATGATCAACTATCCTCTAGAGGCCTATTTGGGGTGCCAGGGCAGCCAGAAACAGTTGCAGCATGACGATGTTGCTTTCGATTTTAGCCAGACGGCCATTGGACGGGCTCTTGGCTTTCCTCATTTTGAAGAGAATAGTCTAGACAATACACCGGAACACACAGGACGTCCGACGTTGGGGAGCGTGGGCAGTCCATGTATTTTATCATGCCTCACGCTTAGTCTGGATGATTCACAGTTGGGGCAGGTGACCGCTATAGAAGGACAGCAGGAAGTGAATTTTGATTGCGAGAATGGAGGCAACAGGTCGGTGGGACCAGGATCGAGAGTGGGCTCAATGGGGCGCATATGGGTACTGGCAGTACCGGTGGGATCGCAAGCTTCAATAGCTCCTAGTGTACTCAATAGATTAAAATGGCGGGCCAATGTAACACCATATGATAGTAAATAGAGTATTTACAGCACATATCAAGACCAAATTGTAATCCGATGTGGTTACCGAAAGTCCCGAAACATATGGAGTATGTTCCAATTACGGCAAGAAAATCCTGATAACGTCAATTGAAAGTGTGAAATCAGGATGGAAGAGGTGGGTAACATAGGACTCGGGGCACACGGGAGTAGTTCTTCGAAGTCATGAGACACAGGAGCAGGGACAGGAACTTACGAGAAGGAGAGCAGACGAGACATGCGGTGGGAGGTAACCGATATAGATTAGGTCATCCAAACAGAATTGGCTTTACAGGGACAGGAGTGGAATACATGGGGAGTGTTGATGGACGTCACAGCGAGAGGCGGAAGCAGCAGAGATTCTCCGGACGCAAAGCAGGTGTGGCTGGATGGCCGGGATGCTAGGCAGGAGGTCCAGGGGTGTCTGGACGGTGGCTGGGAGAAGTAAGGGTGTCAGGACGCCAGGCAGGAGTAGTAGGAGCATCGGGACACTAGGGGGGAAAGGGCGTGGGTTGTCAGGACGCCTGGAACTGAGCTAGCAAGGGGTCACAATGCAGGGGAGTTGGAGTGCCACGCGTCCGGTGAGCGTCAGGATGCAGGAGGGTGCGGATATGAATGTCAGGATGCAAGAACGGATTCAGCTGATGTCCTGATTAACGGTTTGCGTCCTGTGCGTCCTTTGCGTCTGACGCACAGGTTGCACAGGACGCAAGAGTAAACTTTTGCTGATGTACCTTACACTTACAGAGATATTCAGACCATCAGATTTCTCTGATATATACTCTTGTCATGCCCATCTGGCTCTACCACTTGATCTCTTGGTCACATATATCAGCATAGCTCCAGGTTGCTACAGCTCATCATTGTAGGGTTGTTACAGTTGTTGTAGAGTAATCAATTTGTCTCCTGAGATATTACCACAAATATTGAGAATATCATAGCATAGCAAATTGAAAGTAGAGGTTACAGAAAGGGTCATCTTTTCAGGCTATTATTTACTCCTTTTACAGTTTAACCTTAATACAATACCAATTTTCCCTGAAATATAACAAAAGAAATGCTATCTTGTCTGCACACCAACCAGAGTCTACGGTTTACACTAGCAGCTCTATTCTACAAGACAAAAACAGCAGTATTTCCACTTAGGCGACGTTAGCTTACTGTGGTAACATCATTATTATAAGAAATAAATAATCATTTCTCTTGAACCCAATACTACTAAAGGCCAAATCCCACTATTATAACCAAAATGCACGAAACCCCCCGCCAATGTAAAATATCTTACCCCCAACCAAAATATCGTAAAAAGATAGAAGAAGGTCGTCTTCCCAGTACACCAAAGAATGGCATAATCATTTTTCCCCACAAACATCAACTCTGGATGGGACAGCAGTCACATCAGGAGAAATGATATAGTATGATACTCCTGGAAAAACCTGGGTTCCGTACCGCAGATCACGAGAATACCTCAACCAAACCACTAGCCCGAGCGCCAAGGTAAGAATAACTCCGTCCGCCGGTATCTCCCACCAGAGCGCCCAAGTCAGCACGGTCTTTCTTCACACCACACCATACCATATCCATTCCCACACAGCCGGTATCGAGTGATACTCTCGAGATCTGCGATCCGAGCAATTTCCGCCCCGGTATTATTATCCACTGGCCAACCAGCACAATAACTAGTATGGACAACTACCGGTATAATACGGTATAATAGTACTGTACAGTACGTACTCGCAACTCGTACGCCCAACCACGACTTCAAGCCCTACAGGCGCACATCTCTTGGCGAAAACCAAAACGGCAGGTAGGTCTTCGTATTATATCATCATTTATAATACCTTTCTTCTCCTCTTTTTATTTTTATTTTGCCCTTCAATCCTTTCTTCAAGAATACCGGTACCGCTACGGATGTTCAAGTAAATTTAGATTAAATTCGGGAAAACACCCCCTCTGCAACCCCGCTCGGAATGCCGTCTTTTTTCTTCTCTCTCTCTCTCTCTCTCTTTCTTTCTTACTATCTTTACGTGAAAAAGAATAATAATACCGTTGATGATTGCGTTTGTTGGCGGGGTATTTTCTTGTGATGGGAAAAATAAATAATAAATAAATTGGTATCGTTGGAAGTGGGCTTATGAAATCCTGTTGAATGCTTACGTTTATTGTACGAGCACTGTACTGTGCAGTACTGTGCGGGTGAAAATTAAAAGAAGAAAAAAATGAAAAAATTTTACACTAGGGTTGAGCGGAGGTCATCCTTCCGGTACCGCGTCCGGGAGATCTCCTCTGCAGGGTTTGGTTTCCGGTACTTTGGAGGAGTGAGGAGAGAGAGTAAAAAATGAGAATAGGTTAAAGTCTATATTATAATAATAATAATATATTATCAGGTTACTATAGCATTGGTATGATATATTCTCGTGTCTTTACTCGTAGGAGCATGATATGATGATAACTCTGCTGTGCCCATTCTTTCGTCGAAAGTTATGATAGCATCCAAGACGGGAGCTTTCACTTACTTTTTTGACTTCAGCCTAATAATATAGTGCCCAGGAGAGAGAGGGAGACGGTCCAGTTTAAACGGCCCATCTCACACCACACACCGGACCTCAGCTAGAAACTTCAGGTTGAGGATAACGACGAATTGAAAGATGATACCCAAAATCGCCTTTTTCTTTTCCCCCCTTCCACAAGAAACTCAGCAGCTTGCGCGACAGATCCAGGAGTTAATCCAGTGCTATTCGTGCTGGGCGGGTGGGTGTATGGAACGTTATGGGGGAAAAACCATGGTATTAATCATGCCGTGGAGAACATAGATTGCCTACGGATAATAAACACTTGGACCAATTGCGTTAACAACCCCGGTGATGCGGCTTATTGATCCCCACGCTTCACAAAGGAAGACCACCTCCTACCAGAGTAGAGTAGTCTCTCTCGCGGTACGGTGCTTGTGGGGGTGGGGGGTGAGCGGGGCGTTTGTTCTTTTGTTCAGTGCAATTGGTGTAGCTCAGTGCGGTGCTGTACTGTACTTGTACTCTGTACCCAATAGCGCATTACACGTCCAACTTATCTATCCGGCCCGCTAGGTTAAAGGGGCTTAAGCGATGTCCAGCATTTCCACTCCGTTCAAAGCCCGCACTTCATTGTAGTCTAATCTATGATACCGGTACCAAGCCCCAGTATCCTCCGAAATCGCTCCCCAAAGTGGGGTCCAAACGTGTAGCCGGGACATGATCCAGGGTGCCATTACCGCTACATGTCCCTCGGTAGCAAGTATCACACAGCACCTTGCGTGCCAGACGTGATGACCGGCGCCCACCGGGACCGGGCCAGATATGATAGCACCCCCCATCCCGTCAGAGAAAGAATTTCCAAAAATTCGGGTCGACACCAAAAGACAGCACGTCGCCGAAGCTTATTGTCCCCATATCATTACCACCCGCTTTGTAATCCAAATCCGGAGACGACAACTCCTGAGAAGCATTCGCCTTTTCCACGCGCGGGACAACACCAGCCCACTTGATCCGTTGGATCTCATTAACCGGGATTCGCTATCCCCTTAACTTGCCACACTAAACCTATCCTGCACCCCCAGGCAAAAAATCTATTCTGATAACGAATTTCTAAAGTTTGTTGTTGTTGCAAGTATCACACTGTCCGTATGGCGCCATATTTGCGATCCAGAAGTAATGTTACTTTTGTTAGTTTCTATCTTTCAACTACCTAACTGCCAAAGTGCCTAGCTAACCACCATATAATTTAGCTACAGTACTGAATACTGTACTGTACTGTACTGTACTGTACATCCCCCCTCCATCAATGCTCAAGTCCGCCTGCCCGATCCTTGAGAAACCCCCCAAAAAAAACTCCATCCAAACTCCACATCATCATTGTCATCACCATCATCAAATTCGTAATACCTTTTTCCTTTTTCCTTTTTCCTTTTTTGTAACAAGAAAAAAAGTGTAAAATAAAAAAAATAAGAGGATAGAAAGGTATCATGGGTCATTAATCATCAACCATTCAGCAGTAGCACTAAAAGGTAGCGCTGGTGGTGGGTGCTTTTGGCTAGAAGGGAGTAGAACAAGAACGAAGGGAAAGGGAATTCGTCAGGGGCGTTAAAAAAAAGGAAGTATGATAAGCAAGGGGGAAGAGGGGGGGGGTATCTTTGATTTCCAGAGATGAGGACACGAAAAGGAAAAACCAACGCAACATGTAGTAAAGTAGGTACCTTCAATCCAAGCGACGCAAGGTACGATATGCTATAAAATGCGCGTGCAGAAATCAAGCTACCAAGCCTGCAAGAATAACCATTTCGTCTACCATAGCACAACCACCAGCACCCCATTGCAGAGCAGTCCAGACAGAAAGAATGGGTAGGTCATTCAAGCGTATGATGTCGTAGGCAGAGGTAGTCAAACAATAGAGACTACCTCTCTCCATCCTTCCCAGTCCAGACACAATGCAACGAAACCCAAACCGAACCAAATCTTTTTTTTTACCCATCCCAACCAAACCAAACCAAACCGCCTTGCTCCTCCCGCGGTGTAAAAAAATATATATATAAAAATAAAAAGCAAGAAAATAGGTCATAATCGTCGTGAACGGCAATAAAATAAACATGAACAAAAAAACGAAGGAAAAAAAGGTAAATAAAACAGATTTTGGACTTCCTCGACTGCAAGTCTGCCCGCCTTGCTTCTCATGGCCTGCTTTCCTTCCACCCTCCGACTCCACCCACACTAATCTTGGCCCCACGAGAACGGACGGACGAGACGAGACGGACGAGACGAGAACGAACGGAACGGAACGGGATAATATGGTAATGGTAAAAAAGGTCATTCATATAAATATTCGTTAAAAAAAAAAATGGTGGGGTCTTTTAATAAAAGACAAAGGCGAAAAAGAAAAAAAAGCTATAGAGCAAAAGGAGAAAAACGTGGGGAAAAAAACAGGCGGAACACCTAGAGATTGCAACAAGATGGACTTGGTTCAAACAAAATGTGGCAACAGGAAAAAAAAACGGGCTTCGCTGCGTTACTTCATATCTTTTTTTGGAGACGAAGAAAGAACATAATGAAAATATGAGAATGAAGAGATAAGAGGATATAAGAGGCAAAAAGGGAATAAAACCACCGAGTATAGCCGGCCCATCGGATCACAGTAACCTGTTCGTGATTCACAGAGAATAGAAAGTACGGTAAGGAAAATAAAGGAAACAATAGTGAGGGAATCAGAAATAAATCAAGTAGAAAAAGGATTACACTCAACTCCAGGAAAACAAAATTCAATGTAACCCAGCGAAAAATGCTTTTGGAGATTTCGAGAGGTGGAAGAAGTGAAAAATAGGAAAGAAAAACCCAGTGAAAAGTCTATAAATAAACTACCGCCGTCCTCGGGTAGTGCCAATGGCCGATCGTGTGCGATTAAGGCGGCCGTCCGCATTCCTATCGAACGTACTCGAGTTGATTCCCCCAACAGTGGGCGTCGAACCCTCCCGCATTGTCTTGCGTCTTTTGAGACCGCTAATCCCGCCCTCCGAATCACCACCCGATCTCTCATCATGCCCCCTACTCGAAGGACGAGATCCATGTTCATCTTCATCGTCCATCTCCCGGATACGTTTATTCGATCCAGGAGTAGACGCTCCATTAACAGCAAAGGTCTGCGGCGTACCTTGGGCAGGCATAGAGACACCCATCCCCGGCTGACCCTGATATCCGTTGTCTGGAGCCCCGGTTCCATTGGGTCCGTTGTGATCAGCCGCAGCTTCCTGGCCACCATTTACCAATTGGTAAGGGTTCCGTGTCGGTGGTTGGCGAATTGTGTTCCCATTAGTAGAGTTTGCCCTGGGCGGAGTGCTGTATCCACCCTGAACCCATTGTTGAGATGTGTTGGTTGTCCGTGGCGTAGCACCGGACCCGCCATCGACGGTCCTCGGAACAGAGACGCTTGACCCAGTATATGTCGATCGCGCAGGGGTTGAAGGACCTTGACCGCCATGATTTGGTGAGCCCGTCATCTCTGGAGACAAATGGGGAGCATGGTCACCCTGCATGGAAGGATAGTAATTACCAGTGCGGTGACCATTTGCATAATTGGGATCGTGTGTATATTCTTCTTCATGTTCAGGCTCATGCTCAGCCTCCTCCTCCCCATGGTCTTCATGCTCTTCTCCCTCAGCAGCCAACCCGGTTTGCTCCTCCACGTTCTCTTCCTTTGGATGCGTGTCATCAGCGGTATTTTGTCTGGAAGAAGGCCTTGAAAGTGGGGCAGGCGGTCCACGCGACGAGGGTGGGCCCATAGGGCTAGGCTCCTGCCTTTGGTTCATATATTGAGGAGGCTGGGCCAAAGGCTGCCCAAATCTCTGCATATTCTGTTGTGCAATGCTATGTTGAGGCATAGCAGATGGGTTTGACGAATATAGAGGTGGTGCCGGCGGATATTGTTGCAATTGTTGCAGTGTACCGCCAGGAGGCGTGGTTGCCGGCGTAGTCGGCATTGAACGAGCACTATTCATCACAGTGTCGATACCCGAGGACTGGCCACCGGTGCCTCCAACTGAGGAGACCATATTTCCATTCCAGAAAGTTGGGCTTTCAGAGTTACCAACGCCCATAACACTAGACGCACTTGAAGGCGGTGTCGGGAATGAAATGCTCCGCTCCAACCCCGGCCTTTGAAGTTGATTCTGCGGGGGATGAGGTGCCAAATTAGTGTGAGGCGGGAGCGATGTATGCATGGGGTGTTGCATCGCATGGTGGTGGTGCATAGGGGGCTGTGACGACGGAACCAGCTCAGATGTATTCCTCCTCTGCATCTGGCTCTGTTGCTGCTGCTGGAGGGCAGCATTGTCCTGTTGCCTGCGGTGCGCTGCTGCCATCACCGCATTTGTCCTATTGGTGTTCGCGGGGTGGTAGAGCAGAGCACCAATGTTATGCACGAAAAGTGGGTACAACAACTCGGTAATCTTCTCCTTGTTGGCGAAGTCCAATGCACGATCGAACGGTATCCTGCAGGCACCAAGGTAAGCTTAAGCTCTCGTGTGAGAAAAACTAGTCGATAAGGACTAGATGAAACGGCGACGCACCACACTCCCTTGAGGTGCATCGGTCCAATCTTGACCACATGTCGAACTTTCTCGCTCTTCAAGATGCCATCACGCCTTCCACGAGTCATTCCCGCAACATTCAGCAGTTTCGTTCCATTAATCATATGATTGTCTGGAAGAAACAAAAATCACATCCATCCTTGTTAGCCCAAGAACACAACGAGAACATAACTATGAATACCAGGATAAAGAATTGACAAACCTTCTCTCCTCGCTACACAAACACCCTTAGCCTCAACCTGGAAGCACAAACTTCCTTCGTCCTCCCACAAGGTGGCTGTCACTCTGGGTTTCATCCCGGGTGGAGCGTGTTGACCAGTGGTGTCAAAAGGGGGTTGGTTTCCGAACCCCGTAGCAGATGTAGCCGATGAAGGCGTCTGAGGGCCTCCCTGAGAGACAGATGTAAGCGGCGATGGACTAGGCGTCATCTGAGAGTTCTGTGGTAATGGTAGAAGTTGCTGTGTAGCATGGACAGGCATCGGGCCTGATACACCTGGCTGCCCAGCCGGTGACGAGACGCCATTCTGGCTAGAGAAAAAGGGGGGGAACCCATGATGGGGTTGAGAATAGCTAGGCTGCAGCACTGGTGGTTGAGGAGGGAACGACATGTTACTACCAGAGGTAGCCGTCTGAGGTGTAGGAGGTTGCCCTTGCGAGAGATTGTGATGATGACTGAAGTCCAACCCGACGTAAGGGGTGTTACTTTGTGAATTCATGAACCCAGGGTCACTACTGTAAGCGAACTGAGAGCTGTGAAGAGAGCCTGGCCCGGGGTTCGACGGGTGATAAGGTTGGGTATTATGTTGGGGAGAAGGAATGTTTAGGTTAGGGAGGGAGTGTTGAATGGATTGCGGTGTGGGGGCGTTGGGTCCCGTAGGTGTCTTGACTTTCAGAGAACCGTTGGGGGTAGTACTGGAATGAGAATTCAAAATCGATGTGCCCAAAGAACGGGGAGACGAATTGTTCGAAACGTTGTTTGCCGACTGCGGGATTGATAGTGCAGGTGGCGGCTTGTCGCTGGGCATAGTCTTGGAGTAGTTTGGATTGTACGGCCACGGATAGACGTCAATCGGCGTGGCTCTTGGTTGAACCGATGAGGAAAGGGAAGGCAGCTCCAGCTTGCTTATTGTACAGTGTGACTGCCTTTTGATGGCGGATACAATGAATTCTGAAGAGAGAGAGGGTGTTAGAAATAAGGTCGGGAAGAGATGGACCAGCTTCTGTGTGTATTTCAACCAACAGATGTCGATGCCTTTCACTAACGTCTCCAGCAATTCTACTTCACTCCACAGAAGAGCAAAGGGAGAAGGTCAATTAAATTTTGTTCACGCCCGACGAGACGTTGAAGATATGATTCGAGCAACGGATGCAATGGGAAGAAGCTGTGGCTCGGTGGTGGGCTGTGCGACAGTTAAAGGACAAGAACGCTCGGCTGAGTGCAGCTGTGATGCAGAAACGAATCAACGGGCGAGGCGAACGAAAAATAAAATAAAATAAAATCGAATGGACGGGTATTTTGATAGAACAATAAAAAATAATAAAATAAAATAAACTTTTGGGGGGTGATCGTGGTAAAGTTGATATGCCGAACGGGAAAAGAAAAAACCCAGGCAACGCAGATGGGTATAAAAAATCGTAGTCCCGAAGACTGTAGTGGAATCGTATTGTACAGTACCGCCCGAGTTACGGATGCCACCGACGAAGAACGCGTGAAAACCGGAGAGAAAGGAGAGGAAATGCTTTTTTGGACGAAATCGCTATTAGACGATGTCAGGGCAAAAAGAAAAGAAAAAGGTGAGGATTGCACTGCTTTAGTTCGTTTTCTTCGTTTCAAATCGTAAAAAAATTGGCAGTCAAATCTTGCTTTTTTTTTGGATGAAAAATCGAGTCCCAAACTTTTATAGTATTCCCCGTTCAGTAGCGTTAAAAGCAATTGCAACTGGTCCCGTCAATTGCAAGAGTCTGGTCGTAAATTCGTTTGGGTCGTATCCTCGTTGGTCGTCGTTCAATGGTTGTAACCTTCAAAGCTGCTCCCCTCTCTAGCACTTCTGTTTCTCCCGTTTAATTTTCCCCGTTTTCCCAGTCCCAAGTCCAGGTAACTGTACTTGAGTGTCTCGGGTGGGAGAAGCTAGAAGACGTTCGTGAAGGGGAATTCCTTCTGGTTGCGCCTTGCTGCAAGATGGCCCGGTCGTTAATGATGCAAAGGAAACGCAGGGCGAGCCGTGTATGGTAGGCGCGAGAGGGGAAGGGAAGAGGGATAAGGAAGGGAAGGAATTGCGCGACGAACCGAGCAAGAGAGGTTGGGATTCGGGGAAGGGGGACGGAGGAGGGGGGGGCGCGAGTAGGGTTGGGGGAGTTGATGGGATGTGAGTGAGAGTGAGAGGATGGAGTACTCGAGAGGCTGGGGAGAGCTCGAGGAGATGAAAGAGCGAGCAAGAGAAGTTAGAGCAACGCAGGCAGCGAAGTAGATTTTACGAACGTTGATGCGGGTCGGGGCGAGTTGCAGGGAAGGAGCACACGCAGCAGTGATTGTCGGTGGGTGGTGGAGCGTTTCTTTTTTCCTTTTTTTTTTTTTTTTTTTCTCTCCTTCTTCGGCCTCTCTGACTTCTCTCTTCCTGCTCGGTGGGTGGGGAACGGACCGGGGGGTGGTGGAAGGGGGGGAGGGGGTGGGATTGGGAAGTGGGAGTGGGCAGGAGGGGAGGAGGGGACAGTCGAGGGGTGGTGAGAGGTGTGGTGCGGAGAAGAAAAGGAGGAGGCAGGTCAGAATGATATGTACCGTAAGGTGTGTATATGTGCGGACTACCGTTACGGCAATAACGTGAGAAGTAGGGTATGAGAAGTGAGTGAATGATAGCGCGGGGGGTTACGGTATCCCAGCAGCAGTACGATAGCTCGCCCTCTCTTTCTCGCTCTGCTTTCTCAGTCAACTTTCCCCCAACTCCTGTGTTCTGTAAGGAGGCTCGACGTCCCTCGTTAGTGGAGGCTGGGCGGCGAGGACAGGAGGACAGGGGGGGGGCAAGAGAGGAGCAGGAGGGGTGTGAGGGACGGCAATGAGAAAGGTGATGGGGAAGGGAAAAGAAAAGAGGGAAAAAAAGAATCAAAGAATGTCAAACTGTTCTTCCCCTTCCTGCAGTGAAGGGAACACTTGGACTTGGACCTGCCGAGGAGAGGAGGAACGCACACAGTATGTCGAAAAACAGGCCAAAATAGTGCCGAAAGTTGAATTCAGTAACAAATGGATAGGTGACAGTCTAATGATGATAATTAATAAACAAAAATTAAAATAAAAAATAAAACACAACAACGGCTCCACTTGAGGGCCGGTGGTTGGGAACACCCAAAGTTAACTGCGAACCGTGGGCGAAAGGGGGGGCCGCGCTACAATACGGTATGTGTACTGGCACGAGTATTGGTTTCCTTGCCGTTGACAGCCTCTCGGTCAGTCCTCTCGTCCATTGCCCCATCCGTCCTCCCAAGACCGGGCTTAGCGAGCAAGGTATCATCGTATCAATACCCACAGTATCATATCGCGCTGGTGGAATCGCCCGCCCACTACCCCCTCCCTCGCTCTCACTCTTACCCTCACTCTTACCCTCACTCTCACCCTCACTCTCGCTCACTATCTGTCACTCTTAGTCGCGCTGCTCGAGTACTTCTCTGAGCGCCGTGGTCGTCCTCCTGTCTCTTGCTATCAAACGGTAACATGTAGAATGAACCCTACCGGCACGTACTGTACTCGCACCAGACGTACCGTACTGTACGAGTACAATACCTGGTACAAGTGCCTGGTGAGATGCTTTCATACATGACAGGGATTACTTTGTGGGTTAACCCAAATTAACCGTCCATTAACTTCCTATCGGCTATTCATTTCCACCTTAACCCCGTCCGACCTGCCCGCTCCATCCATTCCTCCTCTTACACAAACCCTCTTCAGTCTTCACTCGCGCCTGCTTCATACAAGTGCCAGGGGAGATGTTTTCGTACAAGACAGGGATTATTCTGCGGGTTAACCTAAATTAACTGTGCGAAAACATTATCCCTGGCACTTGTATATCGCCTGCTGCATCAGCTAGGAAATCCGTGTGTAAAAATAAAATAAAACCCCAGCATTAAATCGACCAAATACCCGTGTGATGGTACTTTTCTGTATTAGTACGGCAACTCACGGTCCTACAACCAACCACAAGTACCGGTACCGCACTCGTAGAGTCAAACAAAAAAAGACCCAAAATAATAATAAAATACCGGTATTGTACAGTAATGAGAAGAATAAAAAAGCTAACATACTGTTCCAGAGTACTGCCAATGCCGCCCAGGCAATTGATGGCCGAAAAGAACCAACCGGCACGGTACCCTACTCCAGCCAGACCACGGGCAATCACAAAAAAAAAAAAGCGATACATTGTACAATTTGAACGTTACCGGTACGAGTAGTATGATATTGGTTCCCCAAAAAAAGGCCAGCACACAAAGTCACCCGAACCTGATTACCCCTCCAAACCCCCCCCCCCCGCTTCTCTCTCTTGAAATTTCCCTTTTCCCTTTTCCCTTTTCCCTTTTTTTCCCAGTCCTTCATGCCTTTCCCCTGCGGAGAGCGAGGGCCACCCTCCAGTCCGACGAGCAAAAGAGCGAACGAACCAGGCGGCGGAAAGAGAGCTGCCGGGGAACCCAACGTCCCTTTGATTGGTCAACCTCCAACCCACTTTATGAAGGAACCAAAAAAAAAAAAAAAAAAAGGAAAAAAGAAAAGGAAAAAAGGAAAAAAGAAAGAAAAAGAAAAGAGGCCGCAAGGGTTAAGAAGAAAAAAATAGACGAAAATCATTGGTCCTGCCGCAGCGACACAAACGTTTCTGGTTAGACCCAGGGTTAGGTGAAAGTTCAGGCGGTCTGCAGAATGCGGCTAGAGTGATTAGGGGGGGTGGAGTGTGCGTTGGCAAGGAGATTCCACGGCCTAAAAATGGAAGCAACCCATCAGGCCCCCTCATTGGAGAGTGAATTTATTGGAGGGATTTAGACGAGGGGGCAAGGTGATGTGAAGGAGAAATGACCGCCCACAAAACTCGTAGAATACGTTACCGCCACTGTACTCTACGGAACTCTGTCACCAACTGAGGGATGGGGAGAACTCCAAATAGACTTCGTATCATACAACAGCAAGGACGACAACAAATATGTATACATATATAATATTATATATATATATATATGTTCACTCCTGCCAGTCACCGGCAAGTGTGAACACCAGGTTGTGTAGTAATTGACTGAGTCTACTGTAGTACCGTAGATAACAAGATAAGCTATGGCAAGAGTAGGGTTGGCCGGGCGGAGCTGGAGGCGCTTTTCCCTGCCTTGGCCGTTCTGATACCGGTAACTGCACTTGGTATCATCCCAATGGCCTCGGTGCCTCTCCCACCATACTCGAGCACTCAAGCAGTTGTCTCGTTGCTCGTCCTCCGGATCTGGTGGAAACGTGAAGAAGCAGAAGAGATCGCCGCAAGGAAGGCTGTGAAGCAGAGAGAGAAAAAAACCACTCCCCCAAAAGAATTATTCGGGCGAATGATGTAATCAATAAAACAATTGTCGTCAATCAGTGATCGGTTAGTCTCCAGTAGCGCATCCGGTTCCGATCCTATTCATGGTTGAAAACACCCCCCCAACGACACGCGACAACCGGACGGAACAACTCTGAATAGCCCCAGTGAGGCAAAGCGCGTGGTCTCTGCCGATTGACGGAATCCGTAATCTGCGAGTGGGAATGGACAGGTGGTGGTGGTGGTGGTGCTAGTGGTGTGTGTGTATGCCTGTGTGCTTGGATACTGTACCGGTACCGGTACTGTACTCGAGCAATCCAACCCCACCCCTGGCTGCTGCGATGTGAATTGACGTGACCAGAAAATCGATCTGTCCTACAAGCGTATTGCTTGCTTCAGTGTGAGACACCAGACTCACAACTTAGAACTGATCGGATAATGTTGAATGGGGTATGTATCATTGATTGGATGTACCGGTACTACCCCCAAGGCTGCTCGGCGGATAAGTACAGAGAGGTAACGGCAGATGATGCAAGATTAAGATAGATGTTGAAGAAACCGCCCCCCCCCCCCCCCCCCCCAGCTGGTAAGCGTTCCGGATTCTGCTGCCCTCCCGGCTGTTTTGCTCGCCGCCCTTTCATTCATGGCTCGACTCAACACTGTGGCTGCCTGGGGTTGTGGAGAAAAAGAGACAAAGCTCATCCACTATGTGTTTCATCAGGTCTGCTTCTCAAATTTACACCCATCATCTCGGAAACGAGATGGATGCGTATCGACATCATCTATCTTACCTCACAATGGCGCTTCAGCCAGGAACGAAAAGCATTCGGAAAACGAGATCACACTGTACATAGAACGCAAGGCAACAAGAAGTCCGTAAAAAGCAAGGGGCTTAGAATAACTGTACTCGTAGGTGCCGGAGCGCTCAAAAGTGGTCTCTGGCTCCTCCAAGCTCCGCACTAATCGCGAGCCATTCCCGTCGGCACAATTTTAACAAGAATTCTTGGCACCTGGCACTTTCAACAGGTAACGAACGAGTAGTCTAAGGGGCGATAGGCTGCAACTGACGATGAATCTGATGCACGTAGTCCAAGAATTAAATGAAGCTTCTGTTTCACCCGTGGTATACGGCATGGTGGCTCTTGTAGAACACACAAACCTCAACGTCCCTTATTTTGGGGGGATCGATCACCACAACTTCCATTTCATGTACCGGTGACCATTCCTCGATAAAGCCCTACATTGGCTCTCTACACAACAGATCTCCCCCGACGAGAATGCACAAAGGACCGAAACAACATACTACACGGGCCCAACAAACGCCTGCAGATGTGCTACTCATGCTTGACGGACGCGCACTCGCGTAACTCTCCCGGATCATCTTCACACCCTCAGAGCAATCGCCATATATTCGGCATTTCGGTCAGGCAAAGGAAACGGGAAAGGGATCGCTGAACAAAGCCCTTGCTTCCGCTCTATTATGTTGCCGATGTGAGCTGCCTAGGGCAAAAGGCAAAAAAAAAGGTGGGGAGGGAGCGGGGGGTTCGGGCACCGCAAAGCAACCCCTTTTCTCCCTCCCTCCCCTTCTCTCCCTGCCCTGCCGGCCTCTTACATGCCTCCTTCTTTATCTCCGCTCCCGATTAGATAGAAAAGAGGGCACTGCAATAGAAGCATGTACAATACTTCCCCATGCCTTCTTTATTGTCTCTCGTCAAGGCATCCTGCAACATGTACTGCAACCTTGTTTGCGATCCATGGGATTTTCCACTCTCCTACATCAAGTTATGCATGCAAGGTATTGATGAGTGATTTCCTATGATCGCCCAGGCACCAAATTTTCTATCATAGCCTTTTCCTGCTCCCCGAAGACGGTTTATCGCTCTTAGGCTGCTTTTCATTCCATTCACTTTATTCCACCCTACCGATGATGGGGATCCTTGATATACGACCACATCCGCTGTGAACAATGCATGCAACGGGAGTTACGCACAACGGCCGTACCGACCGACTGATAACATACAATACGATAGTCTAAGTGAAGGGAAAAACAAAAAACTGCTGCTCCACCTCCGCTCCCCCCATCGGCCTTTGGGCATCATGTAACCAACCAACACCGACTTTCCATTTCGAGTTCCTCTAAATACGGTAGTGAAACGATCGGAGTAAGGGGACATTTCTCTTAGCGCTCTCCTGTTTATATCTCTCTTTCTTCTCTTGCCTTTTCCTTTTCTTACTTTCTTTCTTACTTTCTTTCTTTCTT